TTTGCAACAGTAGCCTTTTTCTAGGGTGGGGTGTGTGTGTGTGTGTGTGTGTGTGTGTGCGCGCGCGCGTGCACGTGCGCTTTTACATTGCCAATTTAGCCTGAGATTTCCCTGGCCTCCTATCCAAAGACTACCCAACTTTGCTTAGCTTTTCTCAAGATGAACCAAATGACACTAACACATTGGATGAATGGATGGATGGATTTATGAATGGATACATCGATTTATGCATGGGTGTATGGATAGATGGATAGATGGAGGGGTTCATGGATGGAGGGAAGGATGAATGGATGCATGGATTTATGCATGGAAGGATGGATGCATGTTGGTTAGATGGATGGGTGAATGAATGGATAGATGGAGGGGTTCATGGATGGATGCATGCATGTATTTATGCATGGTTTGATGGTTGAACGGTTGGTTAGATGGATGGCTCAATGGATGGAAGGATGGATGCATGTTGGTTAGATGGATGGATGAAGGAATGGATAGATGGAGGAGTTCATGGATGAGGGAAGGATGGATGGATGCATGGATTTATGCATGAAGGGATGGTTGAACGGTTGGTTAGATGGATGGCTCAATGGATGGAAAGATGGATGCATGTTGGTTAGATGGATGGATGAATGAATGGATAGATGGAGGGGTTCATGGATGGAGGGAAGGACGGAGGGATGTATGGATTTATGCATGGTTTGATGATTGAACAGTTGGTTAGATGGATGGCTCAATGGATGGACGAATGGATGCATGTTGGTTAGATGGGTGGAATGGGTGGATGGCTAGATGGATGGGATGGAGGGGTGCATGGATGAATGGAAAGATGAATGGATGGATTTATGAATGGACAGAAGGATGCATGCATGTATGAATTTATTCATGGATGGATGGTGGAATAATTGGTTAGTTGGATGGATGAATGGATGGAAACATGGACAGGTGATAGGTGAATAGATAGTAATTTCTGGTACCTGCAGGTGGTTCCAGCTGGTATTTATTCTCTTGACACCAGCCCACCGGTCGAAGTCTACAATCCAAGTAAAACAGCCACTGGTCGTAAGAATCAGTTTCCTCCAATCCTGCGTAGCGAAGGCGCAATCGTCCGCCGACATTCTCAACCACGCTCACTATCCAGAACCGAAAGGGACTCTGGCCATCCTGCAGCTCTATTAAGGAATCCAGGGTAAGGAGATCTACAGCGTTTTTCCCTCGCAGAGGCTGTTGGAACAGAAGCAACACGCCTTGTTACTTAAACGTCACGGAACATGTCACACTTTGCTTGTCAGAAGGTCGCAAAAAGGGATCACCCGACCCGTTGTAAATATGAACCCGTTGCTGAGTCATAAGTCACTTTTTTCAGCACCGCTGTAACTTCGAACGGTCACTCAATGAACTGTTGTAAGTCGAGGACTACCCGTATCTCATCCCTTATTTTCTGCTGGGTGGCAAACCTACAGTAAACAACACTATAAACACAACAGCCCTTGGGAACAGAAATTAAGTCAATACCTACGCCTTCTAGTAAATTTGTAGGCACTGTTCGGGAACCTGTCAAATCACGTATGAGGAACTCCGTCCAGTCCGAGTATTTCTCTTTGATAGCTAGAAAATAGAAGAGGAAGATGTGATTATTTGAAGGACATGATAACTAATCTCTTTCTTTAAAAACCGTACTTTTGGAGTATAAGATGCACCGGAGTATAAGACGCCCCAAGGTTTTGAAGAGGCAAATTAAAAAAAAAGTTTTTGCACTCTGCAACCCTCCCAAAAATGGCCCGTTTTTTCGTGAAAACTGGCCCATTTTTTGTCAAAAAAGGGGCATGGAAAACCTTTAGGAGGCTTATAGAGTGTTCCTGGGGGCTGGAGGAGCAAAAAATTGGCCCTTTTTTGC